TAAACCTTTTTTTGATTTATGGTATTTTCTTATTTTGATGTTTTGAGCTCTTTTTTGTTTTGAACAATATATACTAATTTTTAAAGTATCAAATGCGACTGTAGCTTTTTTCCCCAAAACTTTGTCTTCAAAATAAGGGTGTGTCTTATACACCAGTGCATCTTATATTCCGAAAAAATACGGTTATTCCGAATTTCTCAGAGGGGTGGTCAATATATTAAGGAAGATAACAAACATCAGTTCTAATACTAGAGAAGATTGAATATTTTTTAATATTTCCTTATAAAATTAAGAACTTAAAACTTAAATGATATTGAAATTTGATTTATTAACTACGTTTTGATGCGAAGTTTATTCGTATATATCTTTATAATAAAGCAACTCAATTAAATTATGAATGTAGCTCTGAAAGGTTGTGACATACGCACTTTGACCTACTCGATGTGACAGTTAAAAGTTATAGTTTGGAAACTGTAAAGGTCAATTTGTGTATGAACTTGGTCGAATCAACTGAGTCTGTAGTGAGAGAATTAAGAAAAATACACAGGTTGGTCAAAATGTAAGATAATTTTTGGGCAAATCGGGCGACATAAGGAAAAAAACTTCACATAATGTAGTGAAATACAAATGAACTTCATTGTGTCAGCAGAACTGGTTAACCAGCACATTATGAAGTCTGCATGGCAAACCTAGCTTCAGTGGCACCAAGTCATGTTACTGAAGTGCTGACAAAGTAGGGAAATAACTGTCTTCTTAAGTCTTTAAAATTCCAGCATATTTTCAAAGGGAACACAAATGAAACTAAAATCAACTTGAAACTGAAATTATGACATTGCACGATCAGCATTTACAATAAAGGATCTACATGGAAGCACAGAAATACAGAATAGGTTTTGGCCCTTTCAAACCAGAAACTAATTTCTGAAAGTACTAGAAGTGTTTGCACAAGCTACATTCTAAGTAATAGACCAATTACAAAACTGAAACACAAATATCTGGAGGCATTTCTTTTCCATATGACAAATATAAAACTATCTAACATACTTTGGGTATTCTAGGATACAATACAACTTTTCCATGAAGTATTAGATAGGCTCCTTGACCAAATCCTGCTGCAGAAAGTAACATCTAGATTGAATTAGCACATGATCTCAACTGAATTTATCATTTGTGGAATGAGAACTTTAGAAAAATTAAAAATGGGATTTATATTTACAATAGACAAGCAAGATATTTTCAGTTTAGGTAATGTTGCATGTAATCGTGATATATATCAATATAATGTATCATGAAAAAAAACCTTGAAAGTAGTCTTAAAAGTATTTACAAAGACAACAGTTGATTCAGCCTAAAATGATTGGGGAAGGATGAATCTATAAATTTATTTGTAGGTGTTTTAAGTTTGCAGTTTTTAAGGTTTCCTGGCACATCAGTATGACTTAATTTCCTTAAAAGGAGGTGAAAATTACTAAGTTGCAGCTTCTTAAGTAATGTTGCTTGTAATCGTGATATATATGTATCATGAAAACAAAACCTTGAAAGTAGTCTTAACAGTGTCTTTACAAATAAAACAATTGATCCACCCTAAAATGATTGGGGAGGATGAATCTATAAATTTATTTGTAGGTGTTTTAAGTTTGCAACTGTTAAGATTTCTCAGCATATCTGTATGGCTTGATTTCCTTAAAAGGAGGCAAAAATTACTAAGTTGCAGCTTCTTATCCATCGTGGCTCTTTCTCATCACAGTCATAGTGATTTCATGTTTAATACTAGAGAAATGATTTCATTTGTTGAACTTTAACTATGTTTTTTTAATTGTTATTTTTCTTTTTTAATTATATATATATATATATATATATAGCCAAATAAAGGTATTGTAATATAAAATCTATATTGTTCAATGTGTTTATTTATGTACTGTTAAAAAACGTTTCCTTTTTTGGTATTCATTTAGATAATTACTTTATTTTTCTTCTAACCCCATAATGCTGCTACATGTTACTCTAAAATGGCCAGCCAAATGCTACGTGGGCCAATTGTATTAGTGCTTTTAAACAACAGTCAACAAAGTATTAACCTTCAAATTATTAACTTGTTTTTATGCTGTTTACTACTGATGGAATCCACATCGGATCATAATGAGTATTTGTTTCTTTTTTTCTTGTAATAACAACACTTAGTTTAAGAAGTTGAACAAAAACACTCATTTTTTAAGTAAAATTCATTGAAAATTATTGATTTCATATAATGGGATTATTTAATGAAAATTTTTTGTGTGAGTTGTACATTCTTGGAGACTTTGTAAACAACAAAGTTATAGACCCACAAGCAGTTTGATGCATAAATAGTTTAGAAAAGTGTGTTTAAAAACCTTATAAGGGAGAAGAGGGGGTTCTCTATGGACACCCCCCCCCCCTCTCCATTGATAATTTTAGTGCTTACACTTGAATACTGTTCAAAAACATGCTAATTGCACTGAAAGTAGTGATAATATGCAATACATTAAGAATTAATTTTAATTTAGCTGAACAGACTCGGCAGGTACCTTAGTTATAGCTTCAACAGTGTTATTATTAAAGTTTAAGTTGGAGGCATTGCTAGGTATATAAAAAAATCAGAGCTCTAGCCCATAGGTGTGAGAATTTTCAGTGTTTCAGTATAATATCAATCATGGTTTTCTATTCTGAGTTTTCAAGATACCAACTTTGCTTTAAGTCAAAATGAAATTAAGCTACTAACTCTTGTAGTAGGCAACATCTGTTTAAAATAACAATTAAACCAGAATTAAAACCATATGATTATCACTGCTACATTTGAAAATACAATGTGTTTTTTTTTCAATCCCATGAATTCTGCATGAAGCTATGCCAGCTAAGTTAACATATGCATAAATGGTTGTCATCACATTCAGAACACTTTGTTTGCTGTAAAAAGTATGTATTTCTTACTCTCCTGTGTAAAATAGCAGTTAGTTTTCTTACATATCTGGTATATATTAAACATTCAGAATCATGAAATATATATTATAATAAGCTCTGTTTCCTGTACATATAACTTGAACCAACTTTCGAGTTCACACTGACTTTAAACTTTGGTTAAGTTAGCTGTCAAAAATTATAGTCTTGCAAAGGCCCTTCTCATCATAAAAAAACCTCTTTATAAACAAGTCCTTTTTTTACAAACAAAAATTAACTCCAGCCTCACCACTTTTACATCAGCTCATTAATGTTTGATATTTATCCACTTGCTGATCTCATGCTTAGGAGAGATGATAACCTCACCATTTGGACCATTTTCCATTGTGTGCTTTACATAGCTGAACTGGTATGTGCAAATCTCATCTTTATAAACTTAAAAATGAAATTCTTAACTTTGTGGCATTACAAGTAGCTGAGCTTTGATTAATAGTTTTAGTTTCTAAAACTTTTCCTTAAATTGTTTCCAAGTAGATTTGTTTGTTTTAGATTTTCTGATGACACCTACTACACATATACATATTATATAGAAAGTTCATCCTCTTACACTTAGTTTCAGGTTAATTAAAAGGATACTGAATAATACACAAGTTTATTCACTGGTTTATTGCCTATGCTAGTCACCATAAGTAAGATTATATACATTTAGTAGACTTGTTTGCATCATTATAGCCCCCCTCACACCTGATGTGCATGTTATGGACTCTGTTGTCTATGAAAAGTCATTAAATTAGGTTAAATGAAAAATTATGTTTTATAGTATACTATTACATTTAATGAATTTTAAATTTATAAAACATGTTTTATTTTTTAACCCAATTCATCTATTTTATAAAAAGCTGATATAATTATAAGATTAAGTTAGGGATTTACAACATCTAAGTTTTAATGTGTACATTATATTTGTAATAAACTACTTCATAGGATATATATACATATACCAGGAACCTTGCGAGATATTATGGGGATTTTGGCTGAAAATGTCATTAACAGTGAGGGTATCCAACTGATCAAAATTCATTCTATTCTTTACAAGTAGAAAAGTATATTGAATAAGCTATACTGGTTTCCAGGTTGATTTTTGGTTCCTCTAAGTACATAGCTTACTCTGATAAGAAGTTATTATTATTTTACCCTACAGAGTCTGATTATGGTGTTTGCTCACTTAATACATCATCAGATGGATGCTGTCTTGGAATTTTTGTGTGGTGTTCCAGGCCCAACAGGAAAATCTGCTTTGGAGTTTGTTCTCACTGAGTGGTGTTCGCGCCAGCACCTATTTTTTGGTGCTTATGAGAGTAAAGTCAGGTATCTTAAGTAGTTAATCACACAAAATTGTTATTTTTTGGTCACATAATATATAGTATTAACTTTATGATTGTGATTTTCTTTTTATACTTTCCTTACAAGTACATGGAGAAATATTTAGGGATGATTTTCTGCTATAGTGATACTTCATGATAAAATAGTAAAAAATGTAGTTGATAAAACGATAAAACCCTATAACCCTTTTTTGTTGTTGTTGTTGTTTATACCTGTTAAAGTGAAATGTTCAAATTTCTACTTCTTTACATATACTTGTTATAATATTTTTAAAGTACTTCAAAGCTAATTGGTGCACAATAATGGGTGCATTCTGTCAGATAACAAGCTATTGAAAGGACTGTGTGAATAATTACAAAACAAATTGTTACTTACTTCTTAAGCAAAGCGGGATATTACGTTACGTATTAGTAGGATAGAAGGCTTATAAACTTAACACTTTAATATAAAACAATAAAATAGTGTTATTTCACTATATTCTACTTTGCTTGTATGAACTGTAAATTTTTTATGTTGTAAAACAGTGTAAACAAAAACAATGTATTTGAAGATTTCACAACATTATAAAATCCCCTCTCCATCATAACTGTGGGCAGGTCAACAGATGTTACATGTTCTACTGAAAGTTTTCAGACATGTATAAAACTATCATTAAGTATTTTCTTGCACTGAATATTTCATAAAGTTTAAATCTGCTAGTTCATTAGAGATAAGCTATTGTAATGTGGGCCATTCAGTAAATGTGCTACATAAATTCATAAAAATTTTAAAGGGACAAAAAGAATGTCCCTTTCAGCTTCCAACTATAACCAACTCTTGCCACTCATATATTCACCCAATTTTTCTTGAACTTAATTAAATTTTCTGCCTCAACCACCCTTGAAGGCAGCTCATTCCAAAAGCCAACCACCTTGTTTGAAAAGTAATATTGTCTAAAGTGCAGATGATCCCTGAGCTGCTAAAATTTGAATTTATGACCCCTTGTCCTATTGTTTTCACTGCTAAACTCAAAAAAGTTTGTTGGATCTATATCATCAATACCATTAATAATCTTAAACACCTCAATCAAATTCCATCTGACCCTTCTCCTCTCCAAAGAATACAAGTTTAGAGATTTTAATCTCTTCTCATAGGAAAATCCCACCATCCCAGGTATCAT